GCCCTAGCATCAGTATTTAGTATTACATTAAATATGGTTGCCTCTTAATCCATGACTTCCAAAGAGCAATCTGAAAATAATAGATTTCTAAAAACGGTTCTTCAAAACTTGGTTCCCTTCAAAGATTTCACAATTTGTTCCAGGTTTTTAGCTCCTAAAATTTTTTTTATCATGCTAGCTGCAAGTTCTGGGTATCTCAAAACATTTGAAGCACTTCATGTTAAGCAAAAGTAAGATTTAATATTTTCCATTTCCCACATGTAACTCAAAAAACAATTAGAAATCACGATAAACCCATGGGATAGTATAAAATAGGAAATACATTTTTAAATGAATACATTAATAAATCAATGTAGGCTGCAATCTTATATTTATTTACCCAGAGTAAACCCCACTAAACGTTTGTCTGAGTAAATGTGGATAGAAGTGTGCTATTACAAGACTAAATTGGCCTTCCATAACGTGATGCTCCACATATATTTTGAATTTCAACTCCTATCATTCCCAGCTGCTACAGAAGTAATTACAAGAGTTTAAGTACAATACAAATGGAAAACAACATATTGGGAATTTTGGATTGAACCATACAAAGCCCTTATTCAAGAGGAAATCTGAGACATACACCCAGCAGGATCAGGCAGAGGAGACAGGTAAACACTTCCGATTGTATCACAAGTGATAGAGAGGTTGATAGCAAAAATGTAGGTTTGAAGGAACAGCAAAACTTTTAGAAGCTTGCAGTCAAATAGAGAAGAGGCCTTTTGAGTTCTCAATTTCAATTTTAAAATATCTTGGATTGCTCTTGTCAAATAGACCTCAACAGTTGTATTACAAGTGGTTGCTGAAGAAGAATCTAACTCCATCCCAAGTCATTATTTCTATATTTGGTCCATACAGTAAATCTGTATTTCCACTGTGAGATAGAATTCTGGTTAAATTGTAACTGATCCAAAAACCAGGAATATAAAGCATGATTTAATGGTGACATTTTAGAGAAATTTTCAATAAAATTAATTTCCCTCTACAAGCACAATGCAAAACTTATGGAGGCTTGTATTATTTGAATCATGGAATAAATCAACAGCCATGTAAAATACTGTATGACATTTTTTAAAATGTACTATATTGCAAAACTATATACTTTAAGGTTTACTTTGCCCTAAACTCCATACTTGCAGTCCGTCAACTCAATAGATTTGCTGCAAAAATAAGAAAATATTGATAGCATGCACTCCTAACTGAACAGTGATCCTCTCTTAAAAATATAAAATAGGGAAAGCAATTCTGATTGCATTCTTTTTATTTGCAAATTTGGAGGTTTTACTCACATAATTACATTCTATCCTGAGTGCATTATTCAAAAATTTAAATATCTTCCAGATGACATTCGTGAATTCTATCTATTCTATCTATTTTCAAAAATAAAGATGGTTTTAACCTGGAATGGGATTCTCTCTGTTTTACAAAACCAAAGACTCTGATGATGTTATATTTACATGTAGAAAAGATTAGCAGCACATTCCTCTGAACTGTCTTGAAAAGTATTAGATTTATTGTGTCCAGTGAAACCTGCTCTATGCAGAAAGTTTAGCCACTTAGTTGTTTAACCAAAGAGCCAACTGAAAAAGGCGATAATACCTTATTATGGAAAAACATCAATATTATTGCTGTTTTAAAAATAGAGAGTTTTAGCAGTGAAAGTGAAAGCTGCAAGATTCTAAAGAAAAAGAAAAATATGAACCCTAGGAATGGGCTTTCAGATCAATGAGCAATCTAGACTACCAGTTGGCAGTTGCTTAAACTAGAGTTTCCCTTTGCTCTATGGAGTTACCAATGCATCTTCTTCATGAAAATTATATACTACATCTGAACTAAAATTCAGTTGTGAATAAGTGTATCTCTCTTAAAAATATTCTTAGCATCTAATAATTACTAGGATTAAAAATAATAAAACAAAATTATTTAAAAATAAAGGATTGCCAGATCTGGCCACTGGAGGCCAACAAAGGAACATAAAAAACTTCAGCTTTCTACTGATGTCTAGTTGTTGCCCTGATTTGTGCAGCCTGGCTCTGATGGTACTAAAATATGTTGAAAATAAAAAAGTTGCAACTTTTGATTTCTAATGACAAAAGTAGATTTAATTTAATGTGTCCTTGTGGTAGTTATGTTTGATGCTACCTTCTATCACACAATCAAAATGACAGTGGAAATTCACATTTCCCCATCAGAAAGATAGCCATGGTTCATTTCAGCCTCAGCCAATGAATAAACCACATTTTGATGGATTTTAGCCAGTACACTAAACTATAAACTACTGCTTACAAGCTACACGATCTCGTTTCAAACATAGTAATTTACATTAAGCTGGTAAGTATGTTGAAAGCTAAGAAAAGGAGATATCCTAGTGAGAAAACAGGGTCTGGGGAAAAAGTAGTCTTTTGCGTTTACATAATAAATGAATCACATTTTTACTATTCTACTTATCTAATCTTTGAACCACTGGAATGTCTCTCCAAGAATTACATGAAAAGAATCACAGATTTATTTCTGTGGTTTTCTAGGACAATCTAGAAAATATTTAGTCTCTTGTTTTATGAAGTCTTCCTAAAAAAATATTCTGAATTAGCAATATGCATGGACCTGTGTGAGCAAGGGTAGTTATTGTGCCTCTATGAGAAGCATTCTAAAAGCTTTTCTATGGAAGCAAATATACTGAAATTCCACTAACTCCAAATATGAATTCACTGTTGCTTCAAATCCATAACCTTTCCTGCTGGAAAGTAAGCATTCTTGTGTTCCCGCAGAAGCCCTTAATTCTGGCAAAATGATGAGGATTGGCATAAATCTGCTTGAAATTCTTTTAGTCAAGATTGACAAATTGGACTACATAAATCAAAGGTCTCTCTTTCTATGCCCACAGTGCTGCATGTTCTATGATCTCATTGCTTTTAGGTTCATGCTGACATTTGTATGTGCTACAGAACTCCGTGAACATCAACTTGGAACACAAACTAATGGATGTTTCTTGGAACTCTTTGCACTGGAAGCTCTAAAACAAGCCCCGTTCACAATGGTACCTGACAGCACTGCTGAGTCCCCTAGAAAGCGCTTCTGGGTTGGATGGAAGAATCAGATTTGAACTGAGGGCATTGAGGGAAAGATTCGGAGATCATTTCTAGATTTGCCTAATTGTTGTTTTTCTACAGGATATAATCCTTGGTATGTGAGTTTCAGATGTTCACTATTTTCCTTTGGGGTTTCATTAAAGTGTGCTTAAAAAATTTAAATGTGCTTAATAAAATAAACTCATGTGTGATAGATTGTTGTTAGAACCTGGAGATCATAACCTGTATCCTGTGTTAACCCACACATTTTAAAATGGGGTTCTATAGGTGTATTACAGATTAAGGATTTGCTGATTGCTTTCAGGCCCTGCACTGCAATTTTGCGACATCTATTTAGCATATATAATCAGAGAGCACCATTAAAAAAAACCCACTCATATACAAGTGAACCTAGTTTACATTTTTTTGTGACAGAACAGTTGTTTCTAATCACTCTAAATGTAGCATAGATCTGGATTTGGATGGAATATCTGCTGAAACTTTTATAGTGTTATTTCTATTTTAATACCTCCATGTTGGCCACATATGGCATATTGTCAAACTCATGGACTATTAAGGAATAAATGGCTACAGACTTTTAGCCAGCAAAAGAAGTGCAGCAGGCAGCCTGGGACCTCTGTGCGCACATGGACAGCATTGCAGAGAACCAAAACTGGTTCTACCCAGTTTAGAAAATCAAAACAATTAAGGCAGGAGAAGGCCTTACTTTTTTCTGGACCAAATTTATAATTGCTATCTTGGCTCTCTCCTCTAAACGTCTATAAGTTGTAGAAGAAGCCAGTCAGTGATGTAGAAGTGCCTTTGATCTTTTCCAAAGGAAACCTCAGAGCAGGATGCTCTGGAAAAACTGCTTTATTCCTGATAAAGCTTCTTCTTCTTTTTCTTTATTCCAATTGAAGATGGGGGCTTGAATGGGGGCTTGAATGAATGCTTCTGCCTGAAGCACCCAGTTATTTGTCTGCTCTCAAGCCACTTCCTAATAAGATTCTGTCAATGCAATCCCATATTGCTCTGCTTTTTTTTTCCCCTTCTCCAAACTGAGCCCAAAGAGATTGGTTAGGCCACTTGCCTCTTTTTCTATGCTGTGCTCTTTTGGACGTTTATTTGCCCCAGATCTTCAGGCCTCTTCTCTGGTTAAGGCAGAGATCCCAGCTACAGCCTGACCTCACCCTTGCTGATTCTCCGTAAAGCCCTGGGGTCCTTCCCCACAGTGCCCCCAAAGAGCCCAAAGGATCTGCTCTGCTTTGTCCAATAGGGCAAAGATTGACTTTTGAGCAAAGTTGCCTAGAATTGTTTCTCCATCCCACCAGGTTGTCAACATCCACTCATCCATGCACCCCGCTTCTTTTGGAAGAAAATCCCCAAGATGATACTGGGAGAAGGGGCTTCACAAGCTCGGGAAACAAACAGGATCAGGAATCAAGTCAAGACCTTCCCAAATCGGTAGTGGGACAAGACAGACCATCCCTCTTCCCCGCCCTGCTCAGATGCCTGCCCCCGACAGCCAGGCTGCCTCCAGGTTCCCGACATCCAGGGAGGGGGTAGCCTTCGCTCCCTTTCAGAGTTCCGACTTACTCGGCCTTTTCCCGAAGCAAAATCTTGGCTGCAGCCGCTTGTTACTTTCTTGCGGTTAATCCGAGAGAGGAAGAATTAGGCGAGAGGAGCAGATGTTTCTTTTAATGCATAGGGTGGCTTTTATTGTAGTTTAAATTCGAGCGGGTTCCCAGGGGAAGGGGGGGGGGCTTGGCTTTCTTTCCCTTCTCAATTTCAGTCCTGCAGCCCGTCCTACCCCCGAAACCGCCCCCCTCCGTCTTTATCATCCCCGCCCCGCCCCCCCTTCCCGGTCTCCAGAGTCAGATTCTCAAGCTGGAGTAAGAAGTAAACTTTGAGAAGGAGTCGAGACCGGGACCGACAGACACAAATCAAATGGACAGTCAGCCTTTCCACCGGGCGGTCCTACCTTCCAGAGCCGTCTTGCTGGAGAAGTAGCTCGGAAAGGAACAGGACGGAGAGCAAAAGAGCGCAGGGTCCGCGATCTCGGCCCGCGCTAGCCTTGCTTGGGTTCTGACCCCCAAGGCCGCCAAGAGCCTCCAGCCGTGCGGCGACCCCAAGGACGCCCTGCCCTTCCCACCCCGAAGCCCAGGGACCCGAGAAAACGGAGCGGAGGATCCCGGTTCTGCAGAAGGAGAGCAACGAAACAAGCTCGGGCCTCGCGCAAGTCCGTGGAGCCGAAAGAGATGAAGTCGCGCAGCACCGACCCTCGCCTGGCGCCGCCTTCCCGGCAAACTCGGCCGCCGTCCGCCCCGTCTCAGGGCATGCAGAACTTGCACCTGACGATCTTCTGGAAAGCACTTTGGAAATCCTTGTTGAAGTAGGCGTAGATGACCGGGTTGAGCAGCGAGTTGGAGTAGCCCAGCCAGTTGATGACGGCGCCCAGCCACGCCGGCATGGAACAGCCCTCGCAGAAGGGCAGCACCAGCGCCACGATGAAGAAGGGCAGCCAGCAGAGGATGAAGGTCCCCATGATGATGCCCAGCGTCTTGACCGTCTTCCGTTCGCGAGCCAGGGCCATCTTGCGCTTGGCCTCGACGCTCTTGGCCTCGTTCTTGCGCTCGGGGGCCGGCGAGGCGGCGTCGGGGAGCGGGTGGTTGGGCAGGGGCAGCATGAGGCTTTTGGTCGAGTTGGACGACGTCATCTCGCGCAGCTCCAGGGCCGAGGCAGCTACCCAGCCGTCTTTGTTCGGCCGGAGGGCCCCGTTGACGCAGGGCGCCCCCTTGGCTTCCGCCGCGCTCCTCCTGCCCTTGGCCCCCGTCGCCGCCTGCAGCTGCCGCCGCTGCTCCTGCTGGGGACCGCCGTTGGAGCGTCTGGCCGGCGAGTGGGAAAGGCAAGTGTCGGCCACCTTTCCCACCGGCGCATCTGGCGACCGCGGCTGTTTCTTGTCCGCTTTGCGGACCGTCTTGCGGATGCGGAAGCGGGCCGCCTTGAAGATGCGCCCGTAGAGGACCAGCATGAGCAGCAAGGGGATGTAGAAGGCGCCGAAGGTGGAGTAGATGGTGTAGCCCGGGTCCTTGCTGATGGTGCAGGCGTTGGGGTCAGAGCGGTCCTCGGGCGTCCGCCAGCCCAGCATGGGCGGGATGGAGATAAGGAAACCGATCAGCCAGGTGAGGCTGATGAGGGCGGCGGCCCGGCGGGGCGTCCGCTTGTTGACGTAGTCGATGGGGTCGGTGATGGCCCAGTAGCGGTCCAGGGCGATGGCGCACAGGTGCAAGATGGACGAGGTGCAGCACAGCACGTCGAGCGCGATGAAGAGGTCGCACATCGCCTGGCCCAGCGTCCACTTGCCCAGCACCTGGTAGAGGGCGGCCATGGGCAGCACCAGCACCGAGACCATCAGGTCGGTGACGGCCAGCGAGCCGATCAGGTAGTTGGCTACCGTCTGCAGGGAGCGCTCCAGGGCGATGGCCGCGATCACGCACGCGTTGCCCAACACGGCGAAGAGGATCAGCGCGCCCAGCACCACAGACGTGGCCAGCTGATAGCCCAGGCTGGCCGCCGCCGCCGGGGAGCCCGAGGGCGGCGGGGTTGGGGACCCGGTCGGCTCGCCGAAGCCGGCCGCCGCCGTGCCGTTGGATAGCTCCATGGCGAGAGGGGCGGGCAGGAAGGCAGCGCCTTCACTCCGGCTCCGGCAGCGGCGGGCAGCTCCTCCCGAGGGTCACCATGGCGCTCCGACGGGACAGGCGAAAAGCGGCCGCCTGCCTGGATCACGTGTCCCTTAGTGAGCTATAGCGAAGTAGCGGCCGGGCTCGCGACGTCCAGGTCCTCGGGCCAGCCCCGGTCAGAGTGGCAGAGCCGCGGCGGTTGCATCGCGTCCCAGACTGAGCAGCACTCCGGAACCGACGTCGCCGAGCGTTCCTCTCGCTCGGCCTCCCGGCCTCGAACTCTCCGCCGACACCCACTTGCTGCTCAGGGTTCCGCTTCGCCCTTCCTAAACTTGCTCTCTCTTTGCCTCCGGCCGGCTGCTTCGCCCTTCTTCGCCTTAACTCTCACTTGCTCAGTTTTCTTTTTCCCCGACTTCCCGTCGGTCTTTCCGCCCTGGCTGAGGCTAAGGTTTCGTCCCGATGCAACTTTTCCTCTCTTAGCTGCCTCTTCGCTTCTTTTGCCCCCTTTCTCTTCTCTCCCCTTTCTGCCCCCTCCCTCCCCTCCGGCGTCCTGGCTCCTGCTCCCGTTCTTTAGCCCTGCTGCTGCTGCTGTCGCCGACGTCTCTCTCTGCAGCTGCGCCCCCCGCCCCCCCCCCCCGCTTTTGTAGCGCTCCTGGGTTGTTCCGGACTCCTTTCGCTCTGCCCTCCCTCTCTCTTCGATTTTCCTTTCCTCTCTAGAACCGACTCCGCCACTCAGTTGGTGACTTTCCTTCTCTTTCTCACGCCTCGTGTTATTGGGTTGTTGTTTTATTTCCTTCTCTCCCTTCCTTCCTCTCATTCCCAGTTCTTCACCTCCGAATCCTCCCGGGTTCTTGTGCTTCTCCACTTTGCCCCCTTCATCTTTTCTTCAGTTTCCACTCCACATCCTCCAACCGGCTACTCCTCCAGCAAGCACACCTTATGCGTGTGAGTAGATATTTCCCTCTGGATTGCATTACACTCCAAGCGATGGTCTCTTTTTATCAGTGGAATGTGCAACAGCATTACCTGGTGAAACGAATAAGAAAGAGACCCTCTCTCCATTCACAAGGGGAAACTAAACTTGTAACAGCCTTTAGACCTGCCAGCACTCAGTCCTTTGCTTTTACCTTCATTAATCCCAAACTTCTAAGCAGTGTAAAGGAAAGGAATCATTCCCCAAAGCAAAAGTTAAGTCGCTAGCAAATAGGGCAACCGTCCTCTACTGATACCTTTCACAGGTGTTGCATTGACTCCCAATACTCCCAACCACCATTCTAAAGTTGGGGATCCACACATCCGGATAGGAAGAGAATGGACAAAACTGGATCCTCTCCTTCTACATATCCAACACATTTCACATCGGTACTGACTGCACTGTTGGCTGCATCTTCCCTTCTTATACAGTCTGTAGTGCAGTCGTTGGGAGGGAGAATGAGCTAAGCTTTGGCCAGAGGCCAAGCTGAAAAAATCGGGGGAAAGCATGCCCGACAAGAGAAGTAGGGACAGTCGTTCCTTATTTTGGTCAGCCGAAAGAAGTAACACATTAACCATGAGAGTAATGATTTGTGGATGATTTGTGAAGCTGCAAGGAAGGGAGAAAACCCAAGTGCGGCCCTTTTTTCTCCTCCAGCTACAATTTGGCGCTTGAAAAGAAGGCCATGAATGGGCACTTTGCCTTTTCTCTCTCTCCCCCTCCCCCCCCCCCGTCTTCTTTGCTTTTGGCAGTGGAGGCAGTAAGATACCGTCTCATTGTCTGCTTCCTTGTCGTTGAGTTTCAGGACCACGGACAGCGCACAGCTTTAAGGGCATTTGTCGCCACCTGCAGGACTGGGAGTTTTGACTCAGAATGAAACCTGCGGATACAGGCTCAGCATACATCTGTCCCAGCTTGCCCCACAGACATCTGGAGTGTGAAAGTGTGATCATGTTTTTGCACAAAGGCAGCCACCCCCTACTTCAGAATGTTGTTGTTTTTCAAGTTTTTGCAGATGCACTGCCTGGAAAAGGCAATTGAAAGTCCTGTTCCCGTTTCCAGGCCAGGCCAGTGACTGATGGCTTTGCTAAACAAAGGTGGTGTTTGGGAAGGATTACTGTAAAATAGACTCAAACACTAAGTCTTTCAATCACTTTGCCCTTCCCTTGAATCTCTATTTTTCACTCATTTCAGTTTCAGGGCTGCCATTTCGGGGATATATAAATTGACCACCCTGAAGCAGTGTTTAATTGTTTGCCAGAAGACTGCAATTACTGCTTTTGTTTCCTCCTAAGAGAGGCTATCAGCAAGTACTCAAATGAAAAGTAAACTTTGCTTGATTTGATTGTGACTACATTAACATCCCAAAATAAAAGATTCTCAGATACAAAGTTGCTGTAGAAATATATATCTATGTGTGTCTGTCTGTCTGTCTGTCTGTCTGTCTGTCTGTCTCTCTCTCTCTCTCTCTCTCTCTCTCTCTCTCTCTCCCATATGTGTGTGTGTGTTGCCCATCCCATCTACATCTATGCATGTTGCTCTGAAAGCAGTGTGTACAGGAGTCTCATTTTGACTATAGTTAAACACTCCTTTTTCAAATACAAGGCAGGATTTTGCTGGTGAAAAACTTTCTTCATTTTCTAAGCTAAGTCACAACAGTGTGGAGATACTGTTATACAGTGCTTTTTTTGTTAAAAAAAAAAAAGGTGTCTGAACTCACACATGTCATACAACCCGCCTTGCCTAATCTACAAGGTTCCGTCCAAAAAAGGTGCCGGAACTCTGTTCTCGGCGTTCTATGACAAAAAAAAGCCCTGCTGTTATATATCTAAGAAGAAATCTTACTGTATTTTTTATAAAGCAAATTTTTGGTGTATAAACTTTCAGGTTTTTTTGGGATTATAAGTGCAAGTAACCAGGACACATTATTATGGAATGTGATACCTGAACATGAAAATCTGTGATTAAGAAGACTGTATTTTGGAACAAATATAATGAAAAAGGGTATTGTTTCTGTCACATAACCTTTTGGAAAGGGCTGACATAATGATCAAGAGACAAATAGGGATGAATTAGGATGAATCAGGACTGAATGAATAAAAAATAAGCAGAGATGAAATAGCAAGGGAGCTTGCTTTTAAGATGGATTTGTTTACCAGTGCATTGCTATTCATGCAAAACATTTCAACCCATTGCAGCTGATAGCCATTTAGCTATCTAAAGACCCATATGTACTGATTGTCATCAGCTTCAATTCCCCCTCCCCAATATATACATCTTGCTCCTTTCCTCCCCATCTTTTTAACTGTAATCTTTACTGTTAATAGAAATATTTATTCTTCATGGTTTTATTGGCTTTCATTGCTGTAAGCAATGAAATTGCTTATTGAATTGGCTTGAAGCAAGATGGGCAGCAAACAATTCAAATAAACAAATAAAATTAGAAAGAAGCCAAGATGAACTTTTGAATATGACTCTCTCCTCTCCTGAGGCAGCTGTCTCACTATGCCTAGTGATAGGACAGGCTGTGCATGCAAAGGCAAACAAGCATACAAAGCTAAAAGCAAAGATATATATCTCTTGTTCTCAGAGCCCTAGAAAACTTTGGATTTCAGGAAATTAAAATACAACATACTGTTAAAATTACTGATCTTCAGAAGATAAAGATGCTATAGCTTTACCTGATAGAAGAAGGCAAAAAATCCTTTAAAAAAATCTCAAAATGAGAACAGTATCTCTTCAAGCTATCTGAAATGGGCACTGCATTGGCACAGCATAAATAAATGTATTGCTTGCTAGTAAACACCTCCAAGGGGTTAGTGATGAGGGAGATTGTTTATCTGTGTAATAAATTTATTCTGACAGTAATAATGTTAATTAAGAAAAAAATTGGAAAATCTTGGGGGGAAATTGCAATCTGTTTTTGCATACAATATATTTACAAGATATGTTGAAAAAAATTCAGTCTAGTTTGTCTTTATATTTAGAATTAAGTTTGGATAGGATCCCAAGTAACTTACTTATTTTACATACTTACTTCCCTATTAATCAACATGCACATCATTCCTTTCCTGAACCTGACCAACGATCCACCCAATCCAGAATATCTTTTTGCAACAATGGCCAACCAGTCCTCTAAAGTTCACTAGCATCATGTTACCAAGTACAATGCCATTGAACAGAAGACTTCTATTTAGCTATCATATTTTATAACACACTGACGGCTTCTGCTTATGTGCCTAAAAAGATGCTATTCCTCTGTTGTGGATGGTGGTGATGATATCAGCAGACTTTAGGTCCTCAAGGGAAAAAAATTATAAGAAAGGAATTTTTCCTCCTGACATACATGGCATTAAATCAGTGAGGAAGCATTAAATATATGCAGTTAGAGTACAATACTGATTGACTGTTAAGGGGAAAGGCTGAAGAGGAAATGACATAGAATGCTGGTTCTCTTTCAGAGACAACCTAGAACCAAAGAGGAATTTCCTAAGAGAACAATTAATCAGTGGAATGACTTGCCTCCAGAATTGTGGGTGCTCTGACAGAGGAGATTTAAAAAAAAAAAAAATTGGACAACCATTTGTCTAAAATGTAATAGGGTTTCCTGTTTGAGCAGGGATTGGACTAGAAGACCTCCAGGGTCCCTTCCAAAACCTCCAAGGTCCCTTTTAAACACCCTGAAAAAATACACACAGGTATCTTGCTAGAACTTCCAAAAGAAATAGATCACACTGCAGAGTCCTCTTGTCAAAAGGATTATGGATGAAGGTGTTGTTTAATCCATGACAGTAAAAAACTGATATGGGAAACCTGAAAAAGAAATATTTCTCACATCTGGGTGGAGCCAGTTGCTATGTGGAATTTTAGCTGCTTTTGACTTCTCAACAAGCACATCAAAGGTTATCCATCTGTTCCATTATGTAATACCTACGCAACTTTGTCCCTGTGCATTCTCCTCGAATAAACACTGCATTCTGGTTTTCACCATCCTAAATATACCAAAGTAACAGTTTTAACAGTTTTAATGCTTCATAAACTTGTATAATCTGCTGAGTTACATGCTCAGCATAGTTGGCAGAGTTACATGCTCAGCACCAAACATGAGCACTATTTGAGGTGGGCTTCACTTTAGGGTAGTGACTCTAAAAGGAGAATGCCAGAGATGGCTAGAGGTTAAATAAGCAGTACAAAGGATTAGAAGAAAAAGTAGATGAAGCCCTTATCTCATACACTTCATCTTTTTCCCGCATCTCTTTGTTCTCTTATTTTCCTTTATGTTCCCACTTCTTTTTTTTCTCTCTCTTAGAACCTGAACTTATTCCTCATAAAAGATTTTAAAAATAAAATCAAATGTTATCTAAGGCATTAAGGGAGAAGACTAATTCCTTGTACTGCCACTTAAGAGGAACTGAGATAAAAGAAGAGACAACCTCTTACTATTCCTGAAAAACCAGATACCACTTTGGGGCTACATTATCATTATCCTGTTG